GATCACATTATACTAATTTTTGAAAATAAAATACACCCACTACAGTATATAAGAGTTTTAGAAATTAATTTTTTTTTTAATTTAAAAGTGAAATTTTATTACAAAACAATATATTTTTTTAACAAAATTATATTATGGAAGTCATCATTAAAAGTCATTACTAAAAGTTCAAAAACATAACACTTTAGGGATAAAATTTTAAAAATTAAGACAAAATAATTTCATGCAATATTATTTTTGAGATGAAATTTTGATCCCAAAAAGATAATCAGGGTGTTTGTTTTAATTTTTTGAATTCATTGTTTTGAAATTAATTTTTTGTTTCATGTTTTTTTATTTTATTTTTAGTAATATTTTTAAAATTTTAAGCAATTTTTTTTACTTTTTTGGATTCACTTTTATTGATTGTATTTAAAAAAATAAAATATTTATAAAAATAATAAATACACAAGAATACGAAAAATGTATTGAAAATTTATTTTTTTTATATTATTTTTGGTTATGTGAATTTTTTAAAGATTTTTTTTTGTAAATATTATTACTTTTAAGTGTATTTATTAGGTGTATCTAAAATTTTTTAAAAAAGTTGTTTAAAATATTAAAAAAATAATAAAAAAAACAAATAGGAAAAAATAAAAAAAATTAATTTTTGAGAAGTGAATCCTGAGTTCAAAGCCAAAATGTAATAGTCTCATTGATCAATGAAGAGTTCAAAATAAAACCCTAAATGATTTTCATAATATATAAAATATTTTAATTATATATTATATATTTTATTTTTAAATATATGGGTAAATTACACTGATACCCCCTGAGTTTATATTTATTACAGATTCCTCCTCACCTTTTGGAAATGACATCTCCCTTGAGGTTCAAAGTTTCATTATAGATTCCCCCCAGCAATTTAATTCCATATTTAAATAATTTTGCCCTCACTGGGTAAATTACACTAACACCCCTCACATTTTAGAAATTACAATCCATTCCTAAGGTTTAATAGCTTACATTCCTCCTTGGTTAGTATTTAGTGGAAAAAAAATTATTTGAAAAAAAAGTTAATTAAAAAAATAATATTAAAAAAAAATTGAAAAAAAAAATTTTGTTAATAAAATTTTTTAAATTTTTGTTTAAAAAAACCAACGTAAACTCATTTTTTGATAATTTACGTTTTTTTCTCAAATTTACAAACTAAGAAACCATTTATAAAACCAAAAAATTATCAAACAAGTTTTTATGACAATTTTTAAAATATTTTGGAAATATAAATTGAAAACTGAAAACGAAATGGTTACCAAACAGGTCTTAGATCGTAAAAAATAGCGTAAAATAACAAATAATTAAATAAGTTACCAACGTAAGAAATGACTTATCAAAAGATTTCTAGGCTATGTATGGTTTGATTTTTGAGAGTTTTTTTCTTGAAAATAAAAATTAATTTGGTTAAAATAAAAATAAAAAATAATTATCATTTAGGGTAAAAAATGATTATCATTTTAACTTTTGGGCAGTATATACATATGTATGATTGTTTCAATTTAATTTTAAAAAATTATCTCTATTATTTTATTTTTTATTTTTTATTTCTTAACCGAATTATTTTTTAATTTTTTATAAAAATTTCTAAAAATCAAATCATACATAAGCCTAAGAATATTTTTTGATAAGTATCATTTCTTACGTTTGGTGACTATTTAATTATTTTTAATTTTATGACATTTTTACCATGTAATCCTGTTTGATAACCATTTCGTTTTTAGTTTTCAATTTATATTTACAAATTTTTTAAAACTATCCATAAAAAACTTGTTTGATAATTTTTTTGTTTATAAATGGTTTCTCAGTTTGTAAATTTGAGGAAAAAACATTAAAATTCAAAAAATGAGTTTACGTGGTTTTTTAAACAGGAAATTTAAATTTTACTAATAAATTTTTTTTTCAATTAATTTTTTTTCATTCCAACTAATTCTAACCGAGAGGGCAATTGGTAATGCTACTTTAAATTTCAGGGAGGGGATTGTAAATTTCTAAAATGGTGAGGGAGTGTCAATGTAATTTACCCAGTGAAGGGCAAAATTGATATTTAAAAAAATTAAATTGCTGAGGAGAGGAATCTGTAATGAACTTTACTAGGAGGAGAGATTAATTTTCAAAAGGTAGGAGAAACTGTAATAAACATAAATCTCAGGGGGTGTCAGTGTAATTTACCCTAAATATATTATAATTTAGATACATCTAAAAAAGAGTATAATATTTGTGATTTTTTTAAAAAAATTCTTTAAATCTAACAAAAAATAAGTACATTTTTTATATTGTTATATTCAATGAATTTTTAAATTTTATTTTTTACAAAATTATATTATATTTTAATGGGGTCCAGCTTTTGTCCAGTCCGGGATCGGACTGGACCGTGCTATTGGGCGCTGTGGGGGCCACCCCACGGCGTCCCGATTTTGAAAATCTGAACCGTTTTATATGTGTAGAACTCGTCAGTACTACATGCTTGTAAAAAATCACATTGATGATTCGATAAACTATGTGATCAATCAGTTTGTATAAAAAAATGGACGCGTGAAAAAATTAACGGTTGATGAAAAACTGTTTTGTTCACATACTATCGTATGCCGATCAACGTGATTTTTTACAAGCATATAGTACTCAACAATCTATATATTAAACGGGTATTCAAGATTTATCAAAACAGCACCTGGTGGGCCCCCACGGGCCCCAACAGTACGGACTGGATAAGCCAGTGCCATTTTTAAGTATATCACGATTAAGTGAATCTGAAAAGTTTAAAATAAAAAAAATGATTAAAATATTTAAAAAATCATTAAAAAAATATAAAAATATGAATTGAAAACTTAAAAATTTATTTTTTAAAAATTTCAAACCAATAATAGTATATGGTTAAATTTTTATGTTATATTTGATTTATTGTGTGAGTTCTTCCAATGTTGGAAAATATGCATAAGTTATAGAACTTAGTGAATTCAGTAGCAATGGAACTCAAATAAATACAGAAAAAGGGATAATTGAAACATTTATTGATAAATCAATAGATTATGTCACGCCATCTAATAATAGACTACATGTGTGTATAGTGGGTTAATTAATTAATGAAAAATAATTACCTGCGTGTTCGTGAGCCGTCATGGTGAATTTTAACTTTAAATGGTGAAAGAACTATCTTTGTATAAACTTTTCATTAATTAATAGAGTACTTAAGGGGGTTGATTGAGTGTCTTAAATAAGTGTACTTTTTATTTTTTTAGATTAAAAATTGAAAAAAAAAAAATTATGCATTTTTAAGTTAACTTTTTGACTTTTGATGAAAAAATATGTATTAAAAAAAATTATATATTTAATTTAGTGTGTGTAGGGGAAAAAAATTAAAGATTAAAAAATTGTTTCAGTCGTAATTGTTGACTTTTTGTAATAAATAATATTAAATTTTAACTTTTAAAATATTTTTTACTTTTTACTTTTTTATAAAACTTGTACAAACTTGGACCTTTCTTTACTGGTGCATCTGCGTTGCCTTTGGTTGGATGGCCGGCCCATTGTTTAATTTTGTTGAGTAAAAAACTTAAATATTTGAATTTTAGTTGGGAGTTTGGCCAACCCTTACCCACAATTGGAGTTACGAAATTTTAAAAAATGGGGGATTTTTAAGGTTTTTTACCGGGGGCCCCCCCCCCCCCCCCAAATTTTTCTTTTCTTTTTTTAATTTTTTTCCTTTGAAAAACACCAACTGATATTGAGGAGATTTGATAATTTATTTG